TTGCTTAAATCACCTTTCTTTCCCATTCTGACATTCAGTTTGGAGTTCAGGAGATTGTCTTGACCAGGACCACACTCCTAAATGCATTGAAGCAACTGCCATGTGATTGGTTGATTAGATAATTGAATTAATGAGAAATTGAACAGGTGTTCCTAATAATCCTTTAGGTGAGTGTACATAGACATATATATACACATATACACACATACATACATACATAAATATACATATATACACACACACTCATTGCCAGCCACACCTTTTCAGACCTACAGGATCTGGAGTCAATGACAGGTGCAGATAATTAACATGCTTGATATCTGACGAACGTCTGCGACATATCACTTAATCCGTTGGGTCGCGTCTTTGAACAGTTCAAACATAGCAATCAAGTCGCGATTTGCCAGTGCCAATCGAACATTGCCTACATTCTGTGGGGGTTTTGTCGGCAATCTACAAAAACTGTTTGTGATCAGAATATCAGGCCTAAAATCATGTAGCGTGAACGGAAGCTAACGGACCAATAATCACTTTACCTGTTGCACAGGATTGAGTAGTGTTCAGTGCCAACAGAGGTGACCTAGGTGTAAGGCAAGCCATTACACGGACATTCCCATTGATTGAAGTTGTCTGGATTGGAGACAGCGTACAAAAATGAATGATGAATCAAGAGAGCAACACAGAAAAATCATGTTGTGCAACACACAAAATTATGTTGTGATATGGGCATATACGAAAAATGTCATACATCATTAATGGATTGATGCAAAGTGGTAACGTGGGGGGAGACATGCTATCCATTACGTTAGCAAGAGCACTGTTGCATTTAAAGCTTGCACTTAAACTTTGACTTATAGGGGTCATAATGATACATTTACAAACCATCAGAGATATACTTAACATTCTGGAACAAAACCAAAACTATACAAAGTTAAAATATTGGTTCTATTCCAGATCGGATTCACGCATGACTGTTAAGGACCTTACAGTAGCAACACTCTCAATACATGCCAGCGTTAAATAGAGACAGTCAGTCACAGAAGGATAAGAGCGGACCTGATTGAGCCTGAGATCAAGGTTGAGGGTGCCGCCACTGTTGGTGAAGGAGTTAAGGTCTAGGAGGAAGACTGTTGGAGCCTGGGTGGAGACGGTGATATTGGGCCCACCAATGACGGAGAAGCGCACCGAGGCCACATCTAGCTCCTCCTTGAATATGGGCTGGTTACGCACACAGGTGCTTCCAAAGGGGTCTGGGTTGACGGAGTTGTTTCCTGGCAAGCTGATGTTCCTCACCAACAGTGAGGTGTTTCCTCCGAGTAAATTACTGCTATTAACACTCAGCTTGGTGAGGAAGTCTCCCATGATGCCCAGACTTTTAGGTTTACATCCAGCTGTTGGGAGGGGGGGGGGGCAATGATATGATAATGCCTATAACACATATCTAATTATACAAATATCAAATACAGTGATTTTAAAAAGCAACAGTGCACAGTATGCCAGAACAGAAATAAGACCTATATAATACTGCAAGGCATTACATCTACAACTGAATTGATACATCACACTTATTTGTACAAGTATGAATACAGGTACTTAAGTTTTCACATATTCCATCTTGCTCTCCTATGAGATTCACAAAAACAGCTGCAAAAAAAATTAAGAGACCGCTCTATATTTTTAAACAAATCTGCATTTTTAAATCCTTGTTTAATCCTGGTTCTGCTGGCAGAAGGCTACACTGCGAAGCAGGCTGCTTCCGGGTTCAAAATTCCAAAGACAGCAGTACACAAGAATAAAGTGAAGCAGGAGATACTGGGAATGACCAAAAACCCGCTAGCTAAAGGGCAGAAGTGACTTTCTAATGCCAAAAATGACCATTAACTTATGTGAGTTTCTCATTAATTGGAGGATGACATCAAGTGACCTTCAAAGGAATGGGAAACATTAAGTGCAGATGTATAGTGCACTGCTAGGACAGTTGGTATCACGCTCCTAGAAGCAAGACTGAAGACCCACACAGCAAGAAGGAAGCCCTTCATAAATGAGGAACAGAGAAAAACCAGGCTGCAGTTGGTAAAAAAATTGTAATCTTCACAGACACACACCCATAAATTGAGAAATGAGTGAAACAAAAAATTGCGCCATCATCTCTTAATTTTTTCTGCCTCTGCATACACAGATAAGAACGAAGCGTGGGGCCAGAGCGGAAGCTCAGCCATTTATCTGGCAACACTGGAGCAGTTTTCGGGACTTTAGATATTTTTGGGGGCAAAATACAGTTCTTACTAACCTGTGAGATTGGCTGAGATAGAGAAGGTTGAGGTCAGGTTGATGTAAATACTCTCTATGGAGATGCGGATCCACGTGTCCCAGGGCGGTGTTGAAAGGGTGGTGAAGCAGGACACCTTGCCAGTGCAATTCACTAATCTCACCGAGGGGCGTTGCAAAGAAGTGGAACCCAGAGTGAGCATTAGCGGGCAGTTGGCATCCTGGATGCCGTCTGTAGTGCAATCGGATATGTACAGGGAAAGGTCTGATGTATAACCTGGTACATAAATCCTAGGGAAAAATAATAAAGACAGTATCACTAATACAGCTGTTTCATGTGCACACACCCAACTCTCAAGATTACTGATATATACAAATAAATAAAAAGAATAAAATGTTTCTTCTTTTAAGATCCCTACTTAAGAGCAGCGGGTCTTTCGGGGGAAGACACTGTCTGACGAAGACGCATACTGGACTCAAGGATGGGCATGTCGACCACCCTCCTCACAAACATCTGAGGCTGAAAGTAGTAGGAGCATGTGGACGAGAAACCCTGCAGGAATTAAAATGACATTCAGCCACCAGTGTCCAGGTTTGCACTGAGAATGTGCCACACGTCGCGGATATCTGACGAGCTACCTTATGCTCTATTTTGCCATCGTCTTCTGGAAGATGTGCAGCCACGAACCAGTCCCCAGACACTGGATTAGTCACATTGAAGATAGTGGTGTTCTGCCCACTTTGTATGGACAGGGTGAGGTTGTGTGCAGGCGAATAGACCGTTTCATTGGGGAATTCAGTATCTATTGGATTTATTACAGGAGGGGCCCCTGACCTGAAGTGTCTATAGGAGGGAGAACATTGGAATATTAAGACATTTCCACAGGCAATTCTGTGCGTTATGACTCAGATAAGTATAAATCAACATCAGTTTAGGCACTCACATTGAAATGTTATGGTTTCCACAATTATAACCCGCTGCCTTGCTCACAGTTAAGAGCCAGCGGACGATCACGGTGTCTTCGGGCACCGTGAAGTGGTAAAGCCTGACGCTGCCGTACCAGCTGTACTTGGAGAGCTTCTGGGGCGTTTTAGAGTAAAACCCGGAGACATAGGTCAGACCTGGATCAGAAAAAGGGAACTGGACCTTACAGGGCCGCCAGAGCGATTTCAGGCGTAATACCTCAACAGGTATAGCGATGGCTTTATTCTGGATACGTAATTACTATTACCCACGATGTTACTTTAAAACGACATCTTTATATACACCTGCGTCTTGTGCTGGTTAAACATTCACTTATTATAACTGGACTGAAAAGTCTTAACTAGCTAACCCATATCAACCTGTCATCAAATATGATTGAAAATAAATAAAATAGCTGGCAAGCGATAAAGGAGTTACTGGCTGCAAAACTACAAAGGAAATCTCAGCCTGCCATTAAACGAAGGTAGCGAACAGCGTCGTTTCAGTCCGACAACTGGCCGGCAAGCGACGGGATGGGTTTTAATACGGATTACCAGGCAGTTTTCTTGTAACAAACTGTCTAACGCGTGTTTTTAGTAGGGATTAAGGCGTTTACCAGGTTGAGATAACTCGTTAGCTATTCGCTTGGCCGGTCGGATGGGTGGCTATCTGATTCCACCTTTAACTTACCGTCTCCACAACAGTGGCATATTAACATGGGTAAAACGACACACAGTGCAGCGATCGTGTCCATTTTCCTCCTCGGACGGCCGCTGGCAACCCTCCGAACGCGGCCTTTTCGTCCCCGTTTCACATTTCGTTATTCTCGCCGACCTTCGGCTCCCGTTTGTTATGGCGGTTTCCTAGTCCCTAGCGCGTCAGTCCAGGAGCGCGTACTGCGCGTCTCCCCCGCGTGCGCGGCACGCCGCGGACTCCGCGCACGGCGACGCGCCGAGGACCGGCGCAGACCACCGAACAATCGGCCGCGCGCCCGTCAGTCACACCACGCCCCCAGCGCGCCAGCTTACTAGAGCCTTGGCACGCGTGGGTCCGGGAACGAACAGCTGGAGAAGTCTATCCACCGCAAATTCATTACGCCCGAGGTCCCCTGAAACAGTGACATAATCTAAAAACAGACATTCACTCCAATAAAAACATATAAAACACCCTAAATAGTGCAATTAAAACTACGGGTAACTGTTAAAAAGTACAATAGTGTACATGTAAATGATATGAGTATAAACATTCATTGTTATTACACATGAAAAGAGTGTACTGTAATATGTTATGCACATAAGAAAATTTTGGCGTATGGCAGTGGTTATGAGTTTCACAGCTTCTGGAAAGTCCTTCATGATGCTGGCTGACACATTATATATCAACTTATTTATTTATAGACCTTGTGCAACTAAAAAGTGCACACAGTGTGAACAAATTAACAGAAAAACAGAAAGAAGAGGATTTTAATACTGAAGTAATTGAATTTTAATTACTAATGCAGCTACAAAAGTGAGCATTGGTTATTAGACGGAATGCCAATCAGGAGTATGTGTCAACGAATTGGGGAGATCTCGCAATACATATTCTTTACTATTAATAACTATTAATAAAAGATGGATTTTATTTATGGACTAATAAATATGAACCTAAGTCATTCAGACATGTCCTGTTAAGTGTACTTTAAGCACTAAACTATGGGGGACGCTGCATACCATGTAACTTAATTTCATATTATGTGCATTTATACGCATTTTTTTTTATTAATAATTGCACCATGTCCATTCACCGCTACTGACTAAAAGCAAGACAGCTGGGATATTGAACGTGAAGTTCGCACATAGAATATTTCAGTATAGATCCGCATTAACATATATATACATACATACATACATACATATACATACATCATCAAGCGAGGATACCAAGGAGGTATACACGAAAGTGCTTTCGGGTTTAAACCTTAACTCTGGAACCGCGGTAAAGCTTTATTCCTCTTGTACAAATTTTTTTCCCAGAATTAAAAATGACATATACAGATAAAGTACATTCATCTATTATGCTTCCCATCTATGGGACCTGGTGATGTCAAACCAACTGTGTAGCAGACAGACTACTGTGCTTTATGTTCCACAAGGCTTGTTTTTGAACTATTCTTCTTGTACAATTTTTTCAGAATTAAAAATGACATATACATGTACATTAATCTATGTTCCCTAACCATGTGACTTCATGATGTCACACCAATTATGCAGCATACAGACTAATATTAAAACACCCAACAAATCCCAGTTCCCTATCCAAAGCCTACAAATGAAGCTGTGTAAATACACCATCCCGAAAAGATGCTGCCTTCCGTGTAGTGGAGCTCATTAACAGTCCCAGGCCCTAAAAGTTTTGGATCATAATTGGATTTATCTGAGTTTGGGGTCCAATATGATATGCTTTCATGAGACCCAAAATCTCTAGTGGCATCCCTAAGTCTTAGCACTGTTTCCTCATGTGTTCCCATATACCAGGATGAAAATGTAGTAATACACACACCTAAACAAATTCAAGAATGGTTACATAAACACCTTAAAAATAGAGGCAGTTCTTCTGAGGAATTTCCCAATGCACACAGTTCTGGACTTCCAATTCCAAAAAGGACTGTAGCTGTTATGAAGGCAAAGGGTAGCCCCACTACAGTACTTATCAGTTCCTTGATATTAATGTATTATTAGGTTTTTCTGTTAGTTTGTCAATCCCCTTTTAAAGTAAATGGGGCAGATGAGTACCTGTATTGACATTATTGTAATTTACAAACCCATTATATAATGATACTTATACTTTGTATATAAATAGTGAAGTGTACTCAATTCATCTATATCAGTAAAATTTTTTTTTTTTTTACAGCTAAACCTCATATAGGTATCGGTTCATATGTACTCTGTACATGTTGATAAATGTACTGGCATTATCACTGCAACAGAAATCTGAAATATATGAAGCCATATGTATTTAATAAAACATGCATGCAAAGTGTTAAAATGCATAATTCAAATAAATCTCACTAGCAGAAATAGGTATGTGTGATCTATACAGTACATAAGCAGCATTCTGTTGATGAAAATCATTCAGATCTGGCAGGCAGAGGTATACAGATAATATGCAAAACATATAATAATAATTATTATTAATAATAATAATTTGATAAATAATAACTAATTTATGAATTTACCTTTAATGTTAATTTATGTTAAATTATATAATAAGCCTGCCAGGAATTTAAAAATGATATATAGTTATAGTAATGTGCACACATAATTTGCATAGAGAAACCTGTTACAGGCTACGATATCTAAGAATGAAACCATAATCATAACATTATCTGTCATCTGTGTCCATATATATATACTTTTTTATATATTACATATTATAATATATATATATATATATTTAAATAGAGAGAGAGCTGTCAAATTTCTCATAAAATACAGATACTGTATATGCTTTTTGAAATAGTTTTTAAAATGACATTTGACAAGTTTTGCACATTTGCAGTCCGTAGTACAGGAGTTTGCATAATGTCTGACAAGTTCTTTCAGTGTTTCTTTTTCTGACTGGAATATGTTGAATGTTGCCCTGCTGCCTTTTGGTAATGCATATCAGCCAAGTTAAATGGGTACAGTTTACATGATGTCTGTTTACAAGTGAAAAGCCGGAGATCAGTTTACCTGCACAGTTTCTTGTGTGCGCGTGTGCTTGTGTGGCTAATGGTGCATGTAATTTATTGTCTCAGCACTCAAGGGCTGACATATTGCAGATATTGATTTTCATGTGGCCAAATCAATATTGGAGTGTTTGCCCCAGGTTTGAGCGATATTCAGCAGAGGCACCGCCTGCACGTGGAGGTGGCGGGGGGGGTACAGCGGAGCTGGGCAGCCCAAGCCAAACGAGGATGCGCTGATAAGGCACGCTGACGGACACTGCGCCGCTTTTATTATAATTAATGCAGAAGAGCCAATCCAGCAGAACATATGTCAGGGCATATGCTGTGTCCACTGCATGGGGTCATTAGACACCCTGTTACTCCAGCATTGGCTAATAATCACCCCATTGTAATTGGACATATCCTTACATTTCAGTTTTTGCTAATGATGGTCATTTAAATTACACAGGATCATTGCTGTCATCAGTGGCTTTAAGGCTACTGATTGCTCTTTATACTTATGGAACCACGTACACTATGCTACCTAATTATATAAAGTTCATTCTACCTTACAAAAATACATTAAATGACACGCATAAAATTACCCTTTATATGATACCCTTTCTGAATACCTCCTGTCACCACACAACACATATGAAATAAATACATTTTCTGCATAATGTACCAACAATTTCATTTTTGTTGCTTGGTTTTTATAAGACCGACAAGTGCATCTGACCACTTTGCTCTGAGGAGAGTCTTTTTTAGGATTTTGATTTGGCAACTTCTGGAAACATAGTATTAAAGGCTATAGAATTCAGCACTGTTCACAGACGCTCTCCGTGCAGAAACTCCAAGATAAGCCTTATGTTCTTTTAAAAGGGAGCCTACTCCAAAAGTCAAAATAGCGTGTAATTCAATTTCATGCCTATTTAGCCCATCCTTCACTAGACACACAGATCTGTGGAGCAGTGATAACGTACCCTTCATCACAAGTCTCCTGGGCATCTGTGGCTCCAGTTTTAATAGAGGGCTGTAGTGAAACAACACTCAACAATTCCCCGGCAAGGAGGCCATTAAGGTGCTGGCGGTTCTTCCACCCCTTATTCTGTTTCTTCACTACTCCCTGGTTGCTGGGTGCTAAAACAAACCAATGCTCTATTTGCCTAGTGTACTGTGACAATACTGCCTTTAAATATTTGAAAGAGAGGCAGCCCCATGTTTTACTATAAATGCAGGACCTGGAAAGAAGGCACACAGCTTGGAAGAGGGAGCCCTGTTTTAATAACACTTTTGTAAGAAAGAAGGAACGCTCATTTAATAGTAAGTAATAAGATATATATTCTACAAATCATATATGACCATATTATATATCTAATATGATTATATGAAAAAGTCTTTGCATGTGTAATTAATATCCAATGTTATGTACTGCTACATATTTTAATTATTTAAAGGCAGTACTTAACATAAACGGTGGTGTGTACATTGTATTATAAGAGAACAAGCATTCTGAAAAAAAAATCAGAATTTAGCACAAATGTGTAAATATATTATTCTTTATTACAGTATATTAAAATTACGGCAGGCAGAACTTCCCATTATAGTGAGCCACCTATAACTGATTAGAGATTAGAAGTGCTACGTCAAACATATTGATTTACATGTATTACCTCTCTCTTAATTCAACTGTATTAAAAAAAAGTTTTAAAATTTTAAATTAGTGTTATATGCCATAATTTGAGATATTTTTTCCTGCCTAAGTCAGATTTATACAGCATTTTCAGTCACTTTTAAAAGTTTTTGCACAAATAAATATTTCAGTGATAAATATTTTGTATATCATTAGGTGCTAGATGCTAGGTGTTGCAGATTATGATTTTCCCATAAAAAGTGGGTCCTCTAAAACTGGATATAACCATAACATTTAATCTTTCATCCCCACATAGGTGTCTTTACTTATTGTCTAAATCACATTCAGAAATATGATGCTAACCCATACTATCCATTTTATGGGATTGATTTTCACCCATATAAATTTGCTTCTTTTTTTTTTTTTTTTACAGGATAAGTGGGGTTTAAAATGGCTGCAGGGGTTATAAGAAACCTGACTGACTTCCAGCAGGCTACAGTCTTCCAACATCCCTTCTACTACCCCATAAATTTTCAGGAAAATTTTACTGAGGATGAAGAGGAAGATGACATGGATGGGCAAGAAGTAGAAGTTGAGGATCTAGAAGAGGGTGGGGAATTATTTTGCCAGACAAAGGGGA